TTTCCCCCTCTCATCTGAACCCAAGCCATTTTTTAAAGCCTCATCTGCTGTCCCACCGCTCAGACCCTCCCTTTTGTGCTGCTAGTTTCTACTCAAAGTTCATGCAGGACTAATGCTTTTAAACTGAGGTCTAAAAAATAATTACTAATCAAGAGTATTATTTTTTAAACAGAACCGCCTTTTTCTATATGTAAACTCTATTGTGTTGGTCTAACAAGGCACTATTTTAAAAATTTTTTTTTTTTTTTTAATTTTCTCCCATAGCACTTAAAAGATATTTTGTAAAGACTTTGCTGTAAAGATTTTGTAATAAAATGGTCTAAGGGCTCCTTCTCCAACATTACCATTTTTAAAAAATGTTTTAAAGGCTAGAAAACAACTTATGTATATTCTGTATATGTATAGCAGCACATTTCATTTATGGAAATATGTTCTCAGAATATTTATTTACTAATATATTTATCTTAAGCCATGTCTTATGTTGAGAGTGTGACATTGTTGGAATAATCATTGAAAATGACTAACATGAGGCCCTGTAAATACATGATAATTGCACACAAATTTTACATATTTGCCGACCAAAAATGATTTAAAACAAGTTGTAGTCTTCTATGGTTTTGTAACAAATTGTACAAATGACTGTAAAAAAATACAATTTTATCAAGTATGTGTTCTATGTTGTCATTGCTCTGTTTAGTAGAGGTCTACACATTTCACAGAGGAGAGGTTTGCATGAAGCAGTGCCTTGAACTTCAACTCGCTCATGAGAACATCCATATAATTTCCTCTCCAGTTAACATAGAGTTCAGGTTCTTGGGGATTTAGGTGATGTCATGGGAGAGCATCCAGTAAAGAGTACGTGAGATTATTTCCTTGAGGTGATGGTAGTTTTTCAGCTCAGCCCTCTGCAAAGGGAGTGAGGGAAATGGTAGTGCATCCTAGCAGTCCACTATTTAAAAATCAGGAACACAGGCTGGATATAAACCATTGGCTTCATCTGCCAGGCCTTTTTCTACCCTCGATCCCCAAGGGAAAGGTGCTTTTAGGGGGGAAAAAAAAATCTAGCCCTCAAAATTACCTGCTCTTGAGAGTGGAAAGGGGCCCTTAGTCTCTGAATCTTGTACCCATTTGTCTTTATTTCCCAGAGAAGGTAGTTACTAATTTGTAAAGCAATCTGAGATTACATGGAAGGTGCAAAGTGGTGTTTATTTTTCAGACATCTAGCAGAGGGTATCCTAATCCCGTGAGTTCCAGTTTCTATTTCTCCCTCTTTAACTTGGGCCATTTCTTGGGCACAGGCTCCTCATGGACCTCTAACCGCTTTGTGCCTGGCAGCGGGTTCTGAGCACCTTCGAGGCTGGCAGCTTGGCTGCACAGAGCCTCCCAGAGCTTTTGCTTGATGGCCTTCCCCAGCTCCAAACTATACCTTTTGGGGGTCCCCGAAGGATTCCACAGCATCGGCTCAACCACAGCGTGGTACAGAGCCCGGTAACCCTCTGTGGGGAGGCCGTGGATGGTTAGGGTGTCCGACAACTGCTGTCTCTTTCTGGCTTCAGGAAGCAACGCCTGGGCCATCCAGGCTGCTGTCCCAATGTCCCGGGGTAGCACTTGGGTGGCAGCCAAATGTTCAGCATATCTGTTCTCAAGATCTTGGCGGACTGTTACTTTTTTCTCCTTTGAACTTTCTTTACTCTAGCCAGAAAGAAAGCAGAGAAGTCAAAGCTAAAACTTGAGAAGGGAGCTCAGAATAATTATCTGGGATTTGTGTCCCAGAGTCTTGGTTACAGCCACAACCAACATTTGTCTAGCGTGTTCTAGTTGACTGGATTCCTTCATGTATACCACTGTGTGCGTTCCCCATAACCCTGTAAGGTCAACAGGAGACAGCTTTAAAGGAAACGAAATTGGAATTGGTTTGCCCAAGGCCACACAGTTAGAAAGTTAATAACCACAGTTGTCATCTGTTGATTGCCATGCAGGATCCTAAGCATTTACTCTGTGCCAGGCTCTGTTCAAAAGCCCTTTATATGTATTAACTCTCAATCTTCACAAAACCCTGTGAGAGAAGGACTGTTATCCCCATTTTATAGATGACAAAAACCAAGGCAGAAAGAGGCTAAGCCCGCTGTTGTCCTTAGTTATAGTCAAAGCTAGGACTTGAACCTGACAACCTAGCTCCAGTGTGCATTCTGAGCTCTGCTGGCCACCATGAATAATGGAGCTGAGCTCTGATCAGGCCTCTAGATGCCAAGTTCTCCATGTGGAAGTTCATAGCCAGGTCTGGCTCACCTCTGGTGTTCCAGTGTCATGCCTGCATGCTCTACCCATATCCTGGCCTTTTCCAGCTTTATTTTCCCTTCACGTCAAGTTTATTTGTGTTTATGAAAGTCAATTCATCCTCCTATAGAACTAGGAAGGGAATAAATAACATGGCCCCAGATCTGGTGATCTCTTCACTTTATCATGCTGCTGCCCCTCCACCCCTACCTTCTACCTCTCTGCAATCCTGTCTTTAACTTTAGGATATCCTTCCATTCATGTAAATCTCTTAAGTGTTAGGTATTCTCTAGCTGACATTTCCCTCTCCCACTCCTCGTCACATTTTCTCCAACACCAGCTATCAACTACCTCATTGATTCCTCCTGCAGGCCTCCTGCGCCTAGATGAGCCCAGACGCTGCCCCACGGGCTGCTTGCTCTTGGAATTCACGGAGTTTCTTATCCTGCCTTGCTGAGTGGCTTTCATTGCTGAATCATCCTTGGGCTTTAATCTTTTCGAGGGTGGTGCTCCTCCAAACTTGTGTGGTACTGGGTGGCATTTATCCTTCAGTTGTCTCCTGAGCACCAGCTTAACCAGGGAGAATGAACTGGCAGTTAATGGGTTCTTTACAACTTCCCAAGAAGAAGTGGTACCTGGTGCTGTGGTGTTGATGTTCTGCTTCGCACACATTCTGGCCGTCCAGATGTTTGTGAGAGTTGATGAGTCCACATAGCAGTCCTGAAGCCTGGTGTTCAGTAAGATAGACTGTCGGAGTCCATAGGTGGGGCTGGGGTCTCGTCGCACATAGATTGGATGCTAGAATTATAAAGAGGGAAAAAGGAATGAAAAATACCAGTTCTCAAGAAGAGACTAGAAGGTCTATTTGGAGGCAAATTCTTAACATCTTTTTAGAGACCATTCCTTCCACACACATCTTAGAAATCTTTCTACATATCCTCTCTCCTGCTCACCAAAGCCTTTTGTACCGAGATCACAGAGATATTCAGGCTCTCATAGAATATAGCATGCTTGGGCCGGAAGTGGAGGGTCAGGGAGCTTTACAAGGAATCAAAAACAAGTCCTATCTGCTGATAAGCTAAAGGAACTTGTGGCAGGAAAAGGATGGGAGATAGGATCACTCAAGATTCCTCCAGGAACTATAGTCACTTCTCAACCATACTGCTACATAGAAATGACAACAGGTAAAGTCCTGCCAAACTCTGAATATACTTTCTGACCAGATTGCCATGAGCTAAGAAAAGCTGCTATACAGGGAAATATACTCTGGGGTCCATAAAGGCAAAAGCACAATGTAAATGAAGCTGGCTTCCATTTCCTGGGACCAGCCAAGAACAAGAGAACAATCGGGATAAATTAAAATCACATCTTTAAAAAGGCCTGGCTTTCTAAGAAATGTCATCTATAAAAAATAAAATCACCTTACCATATTTCAGTTGCCTTAAATTTTATTTTAGCTAGCTTAGTAGGGGGAAGAAATATGTTTTTTCCTTTCCTTTTTTCTCTTTTGCTTTTTGTTTTGTTTTGTTTTGTTTTAATATTTCTAGTCACCTGTCTTTCTCTTCCTCAGTCACACATGGGCAAATTGCAGTTTGTTTAGATTTTGGCTTACATGCAGCCAGTTTTGAACCATTATCTCTAGTATTTGTGATGTCACTTTGGTTTGTGATGTGAGTATGGGTGGGTATTACATCATCGGATTTTATAGTTAAATTATGTTGGAAGAAGTTCTATTTTGTTGTGCTTACAGCCTCAGGAACTTCTGAAGGCCTCATTTCCCCACAAATGTCTCCGGTGAATTTTGAAGGTTAAATATTCTTAAGAAGCACGTTTTGCACACCAACTAGTCAAATATGCAGACCAGATTTATGGATACAGGTAGCGAGATGCATCCTTACATGTGCAAAAGTGCCCTTCTTCATGCGCATAAAGAAGGTACTGTTAAATTCTCAGAATAGCTGCCAAGGTTAGGGACCAGAAATGAAAGAACACGTTCCTGCAGCCCTGGGCACCTCTCCCTGCGTGTCTCTCCCTGGGAGACTACATGGTTTCTGGAATGTGGTTTTATTTTACATCCCATGGCAAATGCAGTAATTAGAGCTGTTAGCAGTGTCAAGGGCTTGAAACGAGAACAAAGACGCCTCTTCCTGGGAACTCTTGGGCAATGCCTAGCTCCTTATCAGGTGCTTGTCCTGTTGGTGGTTTTGATTTTTCATACACAAAATGCCAAAAGAGGCTCCCTCCCGAGGGGGAGGAGAACAAAATGATGGAAAAACAGAGTATGAGTCTGGCAGGCTTTCCTGGAATCGCATGTGTTGCCTGTTTGATTTTTCGCGTGTTGTCCCTGGAGTGAATCAAAGTCTGCAGGCAGACCGCACCGCAGGCCGTGGTGGAACCACCTCCAGGCCGACGGCATCTGGACCCACAGACGCTTGGGAAGACAATGGGGCCCATTCAGTGGCGAGCCCTGGCCTCACCTCCCAAGAGGTGGGTCAGTTTAAGAGCAGGGTGTTGGAAAGGGTTTGTCTTTGGGAAGGGTTTGCAAACGTCTGGAGACTGGGCAGGCAAGCATCCTTTCAAAGCTGGTGAATCCCAGAGAGGTGGCACCAGGTTCTTATGTTACTGTCTGTCTTAACTCTGCATGGCAGGGACAGAGGGAAAAGTTGGGCAAGAAAGGCATACTGGGAGTAGCTCTTCTGTTTCTCTTCTCTTCTTTCTCATCTTGAGGTCGGCCTTTCCACACCTCCTCTTTCCAGACACTCATTTGTTGTATTTACTTTCCTATGCCTTTTCCTTAATGACCAAGTGTCACTGCTCTGGCTCCAAGGAACACTCTAAATCTCCTTCTAGCACAGAGCTGTTCACATGGATAGCAGCTGATGCATACTCTTCCATCAAATTCTGCCTTCTCTCCCTTCAATGTAAGTCACTTCAATTGACTGTACCCCAACAGGAAACCTTCACATTCCTTAGAACTAATAGTAATCTGGCCTGTGCTATTTCTCCTACATCAGTAAAATCTGTTTTTATTGAATGCTTACCAGAGGCCAGGCATTCTTCTAGGCATTTTACAAGCATTATCTTATGAAATGATACCAATGGTCTTATGAGTTTGGGTACTGTTGCCATCCCCACTTTACAGATGAAGAAATTGAGGCACAAATTTCTCAAGAACCATGCCCCAAAGCTAGTAACCAACAAAGGCTGGACACGAAGGTTTATACACGCTTTCTCTTATGTGCTTTCACCCAGTTATCACTGTAATGCTTTGCCTTTCATCTGGTTAGCCCATCACATACCACACCTGGGCCCAGTTACAGTCCTATCCTTGTCACGAGACTTCCTCTGGACTCAGGAGGTAGTCTGTATGAGCTGATGTCCCAGATCCATCTCTCAAAGTGCAAGTGAATTTGCATTTCTGAATCTTATTTTCCTCATCTATGAAATAGGGATAGTAAGAGTACCTACCCCAGGATACTGGGAGGATGAAATGGACAATGCCTGTGAAGCACTTGGCATGGCTCCTGGCACATAATAAGCACTCAATAAATAATGTCCTTATTAATATTATTAATATTGTGGCCTATTCGCCCATCTGACCTTTTCTTGAGCTCCTGTTGCTCATGGTCTGAGTGACATAACCCAACATTGAATATGAACTTTGTCTCGGGTCCTTCACGTGCATCCATCTGATTTATGGGGCCAACTAAAAGAGCCTCTTGAAGTGAGGAATGAGTTTGATCTGATGCAGCATTTCTTTTTCTATGATCCATCTTTACTAAACATTTGTCAGATTCATTAACTTCACAAAAGCGGTGTATTTACAGGAGGCACATTTCCCTCTGGTTGTGGGAGTTTTCCAGAACATCCCATGCTTCATTAGACAGAAAGGAAAGCAGGTACCTGAAGATATGCTAAGGAAAGTGACTAGTCTTTAACAGAGATTGTTCCATCAAAGGTTGTTCAGAATTACCAAGTCAGGATGGTTCAGGGTCCTGAAATCATGGCAAGAGTTTCCATTGTTGGTGCCAACACCTGATTCATGAATTTGGGGTTGAGGCAGTGGGCTTTCATATTGCTCGAAATCCTGTTCTTTAGTTTGATTCTCCAGTGAACCATTTTTTTTTTCCAGCCGTGCTCAATATACATAACTTTTATTTTCCACCCATCGTTTGGAGCTGTGCTTCCTGACATATCTAAACTACCACTTCTATTTGGAAACACATCTGCCCTTCTTTGATGCTTAGCCAAACCCTCCTCACCTTATTTTTAGCTCCTATAATGTTTCTTCTTTCTTTTTTCCTTTACTACAACATTTCTTCTCTTTAGTTTCTCTTAGCTCTTCTGTTTCTGGAGGATCAGTTAATAAAGAGGAAATTGAGCGGGTTTATATAAATTCTTGTCTTTTCCCATCATGCCCCACTCTCAAATTCTGGTGGAATTTAGTTGTTTTTAATCTCAGATGTTTTTATTTTAACACCCAAGCAGTAAACTTCCACACCCATATGGGAAAATATCTGAGATGTGCGATGTAGAAAGTTTAGGAAAGACGAGAAGAACTTTGGATGAGAGAATTTGAAAAGATTCCTGAACCATGATGCAAATTCCGAGGACCAATGATTTAGACCACATGTGCTTAATATGCACCTATCACGGGCCAAGTATGTGAAATAAGGGTGCCCTGCCCACTCTGCAACCCCTTCTCACCTGACTCTAAGTTGTCGTATCTGGCCACCTGGATGTCCCACAGACACCTCTAGCTCATTATGTTCAAATCAGTTCTCTCTCCCTTCACCCCTATCAGAACAAGTAAACTATTGCCTCTCTTGAATTTTTCATCACTAGTTGCCTGGCCCAGAAATCTGGGAGACAGGATCAGTAACAGTACTGTGCTGAGCCAAGTATGAGGCTAAAGGAAAATCAAGAATCTAAACCCTGTTTTTATTTTAAAATTTCGATATTTTGTTCAACTTGAATTTTTTGGCATTTATTTACATTTTAAGATACTATATTAAGATAATTGATTAAATATATTTAATATACTTTAAAACCTATTAAATAATATTTATTTATCTTGATTATTGAGTTTCTTGGGCCCCTTAGAGTTTACACCTGGGGTGAATGCCTCACTCACTTTACCCTCATTCTGGCCCTGAACCACTCAGTAAGCATTCGTCACTAGAACCCCATAAATACAAGAAGGCAACTCACCACGGTGACTAGTCCTAGAGGCCCGCTGCCTGGGTTCAGAGCCCAGCTCCACTGTTATGTGACTTTTGGGTAAGCCATTTAACCTCTCTGTATGAGGGGCATGGTAAGGGTGCCTCAGTCATTGGGTCTTACGGGAGGATTATGTGAAATTCAACGGCAAGCACTGTACACAGCCCAGAGTTTGGTGAAGTTCTCGGTAAATGTTTGCTATGGTTGTTATTATAATCGGGCTCCTCATCTAGTGCTCACTCTACAACATGACTGCCCCGTGAGCAAAAATCACCCCAACTGGAGTTTCAAAGATACCAGGATCACCCAAACTTCACCAGCTGAGCTCTGCCAGTTTCTTGGCAAATCCTGCTGCTCTTGGAGGAATGAAAGGGCCCAAATGCAGAGCGCAAGCAGGCAAGCAGACAGACACCATCTTCCCAGAGGCCCAGGGGCTACAGTCTGTGTTCTCAATCTTTCCCTGAAATAAAGCTGCTAACCGACTGAGGCATGTGAAGGATTAAAATGAATGTCTCAGGCTGCTCCTTGCCAGGGGCCAGGACCACATAACTGAGCAAAAGACCTTGAGCTATTAAGTGCCCTGACCTAGACCCGCTTGGCTATATTTTTAGCCTCTGTGCACTGTTTCCATCACCTGTGCTGGGTTTTAAGCTGGAAAAGAGGGGAGGGAGGCCTGGGGAAAGCATGAGGGATGTTTCTCATAGCAGTCAGTGGGGGCAGGGGCTTGCACACTGTTTCTGAGTTCTGTTGGAAAAGGCAGTTTCATGGGCTTGCAACCCCAGTGATGTGACCATAATGAGTTAGAGGTGTCTGTGGGACATCCAGGTGGCCAGATCTGAAAACTTAGAGTCAAGTGAGAAGGGGTTGCAGGGTAGGTAGGGCACCCTTATTTCATATACTTGGCCCATGAAACCAGCACACGTCGTTCCTGCCTTCTTGCTGCAGCTCTGAGCTTAGAAGGGCCCCATGGTTGGTTTAAAACTCTGTAGTTGCCATCTTGAAATTCTTAATCATTTTGAACAAGGGATCCCCACATTTTCACTTCTTACTGGGCCCTGAAAATTACATAGCCGATTCTGATTGTACACAAGGCTAAGAGAGCCAAATGAAGTAAGGGTACCCTGCTGGAGGCAGGACAGGCTGAAGCTATTATCATAAGGCAAGAATCTCCAGATTTGACCAAACAAACCTTATTTCTAATCTCCTGTCTGCCTCCTCCTAGGACCTCCTCTGAAACTGAGATGAGATGTGAAAGAAGCTTGTAAACTGTAGAGAGCTATGTCCTGCTTTGCTAAAACCTTTACCCAGCTTTCTATTTAAAAGAGTCCATTCTCTGTCAACATCATTTGTATGTCTGGTATTTTTTGCTCCCCAAAATTCAGGTTATTTTCATGTTGGTTGACTAGCCCCTCCCCTCCATTAGAATGTAAGCTTGTCCTGTTGCTGCTCTTACCATGTTCCTCCCTGGGTATTTTTTAAATTATTAAATTAGATGAGGTAATATTGGTTAACAACATAAATTTCAGGTGTACAACATCATATTTCAGTATTTGTAAACACTATTGCATGCTCACCACCCAAAGTTTAGTTTCCTTCTCTTTCCCCTCATTGAGTACTTGTTGAACAGAAGGTTCACCTTTACTGAGTGCTTACTTTGTGTTGATGGTTTCACCCACAACTTCGCATTTCATTCCTCTCCTAGGTGCTCCTTCCTTCTCCCCACATAAGGGCACAAGTTAAAGGTGAAGAGTTCCCAGGTCCTGCAGAAGGAGGAGGTTTTGGAAGTGGGGAAGGGCCAAAAATGGTGGAGAGGAGAGGGCAAGCAAGAATGGGAGACACCAGGTGGGATGTGGAGGGTGTGTCCCCAGGGACGGGGGTGTCCTCCTGCTCCAGTAAGGATCCCAGAGGATTCTTGAGCTCGGGAATGACACAGAGAATACAATGAGTGAACAAGATTCTTCTTGCTGCAGCTCTGGGTCGTGTGGGTGGAAAAGGACAGAGATTGAATGAGAGGCCTCGTGGGAGGTAACTGTGCCTTTGGGGCCCAGCCCTGGGAACAGCTTGGGAGGGGCGATGGAGGGAGGCAGACCCTGGGAGTGGGAGATAGGGCAGCTCCGGGTGGCGAGGGGTCACAGGGGCCGGTGTACCTAAGGCGGGCCGTGGATCCCGCCGGCCAGGACCGCCCCAGCCCAGCTCTGGGAGCTGCGAGTCGGCACACGAGGGCAGATGTTCCTGCCGCCGCACGGGGCGCAGGCCCACACTTGCAGGCCCGGACCAGGGACTTAAAAGCGCCCGGTGCGCCGCCCAGACCTGCCTCGAGGGGCGTCACCTCGGCGCTTTAGGGAGGAGCTGAAGGAAAATCTCATCTGCCTGAGGGGAATGCGGGGGCGGAGGGAGGCCCAAGGCAGACTCCTAGGACAGCCGGGGAAGACCTGGGAGGTGGGAAGGCAAAGGGCCAGCCGCGCCAGGGCTGAGTTTCAGGAAGCCTGCACTGAACTCCAGGGTGCTTCAGTCTGTATTAAAGTATCATTACCCCATCCGCCTCTGGACTTTCTCTGCGTCAGGAGCTTTACTCGCTTCTATGTCACCTAACTTTGTGAAGTCCTTTTATGATTCCCCTTTAGCAGATGACTGAGGCTCAGACAGCAGGAAACTTGCCCCAATTGACAAAAGTTATGCAATAAGATTCGGAAGCGTGCGCAGTATGCTGTCTCTGTATCTGCTATAATTGGGAGTGGTGAAAGGAAATCCATTTTCTAAGCTTCTACTGTGCGTGTGTAAAAGTTTCCGTACATCGCTTCATTGAGTACCACAGCTTTGGGGGTAGTTGCTATCAACACCTCCATTTCATATGAACAAACTGAAGTAAGAGAGCTACTTAAAACTTGCCCAAGGTCTTACAGGTGACCTGGACAGGCTGACTCCAGAGCACTCTTTTCTTAACCACTACCATTAGCCCAGCAGGGAAAAGTGGTTTGTAAACTACTGTTCTGATTATTACCGCTGCGGTTGAGCCCGCGCGTGGGTCACGACCCGAGTGAGGGTGGAGCAAGGGTCACTGCGCGCCCGACCCGCTCCAGCCGGACCAACCCTCCGGGACCCCGCCCCTCACCTGCTGGCCCCGCCCCTCGATCGGACCAATAAAAAGCTCCGCAGGAACCGGCCCAGGTGTGGAGGACGATGTAGGCAGTGCCTGGCGCGTGAGTGGCAGGCGCGGCCCGAGGACTGGGTGGAGGGGGCGTGCGCACTCGGCTCCGCCCCTCGGGCCTCGCGGAGGAGC